CAGCTGATGTCCCTGGGTGGGCCATCTAGCAGGCTTAGTGCTGATGCCAATCTGTCTGGGGGCGTCACCCCGAAACACAGCACAAGTTTTGATATACCAGGTTTTGAAACCATATGTACAGTAACTCCTCACTTAATATTGTAGTTATATTCCTGAAAAATGCAACTTTAAGCGAAAGGATATTAAGCAAATCCAATTTCCCCATAAGAATTCATGTAAATGAGCAGGTTAGGTTCCAGGGAAATTTTTTTTTTTACCAGACAAAAGAGTATATTATATATATACACACACACACAGTCTAAGTTTTAAACAAACAATTTAATACTAGTACACAGTGATGATGATTGTGAAGCTTGGTTGAGGTGGAGGAGTCAGAGGGTGGGATATTTCCCTTACTGCTAAATGATGAACTAGCAATTGACTGCGCCCTCCAGGGTTAACTCTCTCACTCTGCAAGGCAGCAGGAATGGAGGGAGAGATGAGCATTTCCCCTTTAAGTACACGGCCTTGTTAATTAGATCAGTTTGCTGAGACTGCAGCTGCTGCAAGCTCCCTCTGTCCTGAGCCCGGATGTGTCCCCCCTGCTCTATGGAAGATGGGTAAGCAGGGGGCAGGAGCAGTGGGAGGGGGACACCCTGACATTAGCCCCCCCCACCCCTACCCCCCGCACAGCAAGCAGGAGTCTCGGGGAGCAGCTCCAAGGCAGAGGGCAGGAGCAGCACATGGAAGTGCAAGGAGAGACACACCTGAACTGCAGGCAGCTGCTGCACTGGGAAGTGGGAACTTAGGGGAGTGAGGAGCTGATGGGGGGAGCTGATCTGGGGCTGCCGGTCCACCCTGGTTCCAAGCCCCCACCAGCTAGCTGCAACGGGCTGCTCTTCCTGCAAGCAGTGGACAAAGCAGGCGGCTGCCAAAACGTTAGAAGGGAACATTACACAACTTTAAACGAGCATGTTCCCTAATTGATCAGCAACGTAACAAGGAAACAATGTTAACTGGGACAACGTTAAGTGAGGAGTTACTGTATCTATAACTCACAGCACAAAGGTGATACAAACATCTAAACGAGATGATCATCCTTCGCAAATCAATGGCACCTTACACGGCACATCTGACATGATTTATTGCAATTTTATAATATTGGTATTATTAATAATATAAAGTGTCTCACAATTCCATACAGCGTCACAAGGGGATTTACACCAGATTAACTAGCTCCATTTACAAATCAGTGTAACGGGTGCAGACCAGGTCTCACACCCATGTGAATGTTCGACCCGCTGAGGGGCTTTTATCTCTTGTCTGTTACTGGTACCGGCCCCTGGCAAGTGGCTTATGTGCTGTGTCTCCCCCCCCAGCACCCCCCACGGTCTCAGTTTCCCGCAGAGACGCCCCAGACAGCTCCATCACCCTCTCCTGCCGCGCCAGGGGCTTTTACCCACGTCCCATCCATGTCTCCTGGGTGCGGGACGGAGAAGACATCGTGCCGGAGAAGTACTCCAGCGGGATTCTGCCCAACACCGACGGCACCTACTACACGCAGTCGTCCCTGGAGATCTCCCCGCAGCAGGACGGGCACCGCTACGCCTGCCGAGTGGAGCACAGCAGCCTGCCAGAGCCCACGCTCGTCTGGGGTAAGGGGGGGTGAATGGCAGGGCCCAGGGGTTGGGGGCACAGCCCCATGGGAGTACAGAGATGGGGTGCGGCTGGGCCACAGGAAGGTCAATATCCCTGCCCACCGTCAGTGTGAACTCGTCTAGCTCTGGGTGTTCGTGTGACCTACAGAAATGGCCGATCCCTCAGAGAATCTGATTTTCTGGCCGTGGTGGCATCCAGTGACAGTGAGTTCCACAGGCTGATGTCGTTATGAGGGAAGGACCTGGTTGCTGTGTGGCGTGTGTGTCTGGCAGTTCCCAGCAGAGCACCCGCCCTCTGTGCCCCATCCCCGTCCCCCTCCCGGCTCAGCCTTTCCCCTCCCCTGGGGCCAGGTCTCTGCAGACACCCTCGGGGAGACGTTCAAGGCAAAGGCTTATGGCTGCCCCAGTAGGATGCCCCAGCGGCTGCTCCCCTCGGTGACCTGGGCCCTTCTCCATCCCACAGCCCCTGGGAAGAAGGGCCCCCTGCACCCTGGGGTCCTCGCCACCATCGTCCTGGCCGTGCTGGTTCTGGCTGGTGGAGCCGTAGGGGCCGGCGTCATCCTGTGGAGGAGAAAATCAGCAGGTAAGAGCCAGTCCCCATGGAGCCGGGATGTGGGGAGGTCTGGGGAGTGGGGCGGCCCAGCCAGCCCAAGGGGGAATGGCTCCTAGCACTGCCCCCCAAGGAGAGGTGGGGCAGGGCCATGGGGCAGGGCTGATCACTGTAACCCGGCCCTGCTGGGGGCAGAGTGGGCTCTGTTGTTGGCTGGGCGCCGTGTGCCCTGCTGGGGGGGGGGCGCTGGGGTGGGACTGGCCTGGGCAAGGTGCAGTTAGGGTCACGGGGAGCCCTGTGTCAGAGGGGTCAGGGGGTTGGGGTCACCGTGGGGGAGGGGTTACCCTGCTCCCCTGCACTGACCCTCATTCTCTGCTTGTGTTTCAGGCCCCATGAATCCCGGCTACGCTCTGGCTGCCAGTGAGTAAATCCAGGGTACGGGGCCCAGCGCCCCAGTGCATTATGGGTGCAGGGGGTCTCCATGAGGGGAGAAGGGATGCGGGCACTGATGGGGCTGGGCTGCGTGAGTCCCAGGGTCACTCCAGTGGCCTGTTGCAGGACAGACCAGCCGTCCGAGAGCTTCCGAGTGTGAGGGAAAAGCCGGAGCCCGGCGGTGTCTGTCGGGGGCGGGTACGACCGGGGTCACGCGCTGCGTTTGGGGTTCGAACCTGTAGTGAGTCGGTGTGGCTCCCTTCCTGCCCAGAAGAGGGAGCCCACGTGCAGGCACCAGAGTGGGTGGGACCACCACCGCCTGTCCCCGCCCCCCGGAAGTCAAGGGGCGGGACAGGAAGTATAAAGGCCGGCCGCCAGAGCTCAGTCGGCGGCCAGCCACCACAGGGAGCAGACGTGCGGCCGGGAGCTCCCGGCCAGGAGACCGCCGAAGACC